CTTTTCAATTCCGACCGGGAAACTTCTTGTGGGCACAGTGTGCTGGGACGTCGACGTTATCATCTGAGGATTGGTCTACTACTTGGACAGGCCGCACAACTTCTTTTGATGTTAAAGATTTCCTGCGACAGACAAGTGGTTTATCGGAGCACGAGACGCAACAGGCTGAAAGAAGCACCTGCAATCTAGATGGGCAACAAGAACTAACTGGTCTACATCCAGCTGATTGGCTTGGAGATGGAGGCGCGTGGGAGTATATGGAGAAACACAAGAAACACATCAGTGGAGGAGGAGGCCAAGAAAATCAAGAAGATGAACGAGAATTAAAAAAACATGATCAAAATCAACAGGAGTCTCAATCTTCTTCTTCACTGGTGAAACAGGAGTCTCAGTCTTCTTCTTCACTGGTGAAGAGTCGTCAACAAGAAGGTCAACTTCAACAAAAATTGCGTTTACATCTTTGGTTCTCGAACGTGGTAGAGGTAGCCACCGGACCCAAATTACGGGTTACAGGTACGGGGTCGCCTCAGAGTGACGGCCTGTACTCAGGTTCTCAGTTTTACCAGTTGCCGATTCGCATACCTTCTGGCAGCTTAGTGCGATGTTGCCGAGCGGGGAAAACGTTGGGACTCGAAGTAGAAGAGGTCCTACTTTCAGAACCAAATACATCACCTGAGGAGGAGACTAGTGTAGAAGGGACTTCTGCAGATCATGACCATGACCGAGATGACGAGCCTGCTGTGGTGTATCAGCATGCCCAACAAGGAGATAACGATGGCGAAGAGTTGTCTCGCGCTAGTACAGCACTCGCATATCTCGAAAAACGGGCGCTTCGCGTAGAAAGTGATGAAGACACTTCCGTCGCAACCGATCTCTTACAAGAGAGTATCGCTTTTCCTGAAACGGTCGATCTGGGTGGTGTGTACGTATATTCGCGTACACGAAATGCCCATGTCCATTTGACCCGACCTGATGAATTGGAAATTAGATTTGGTAGAAACAAGAGAATATCAGCGGGCAGCGAGAACGACCTCGAGGAAGGAGAAGCTAGATCTAGTAACGAAGCCATAGTGCTTTATCGCAGATACTATCCTATCGCGCGATTAGCTGCACCTATTACGATGAGTGCCACAATGCAGGATCATGATAGAGACGCAGACTCTCTTGCCTTGATCCAGGAGTTGAGTGGGAAAGGTCGATATGAAGCGATCTTGCGAGAAGGACTGTATTTTGAAGAAATAATAAAGCAACATCAAGTTGTAGATCATGACAAGCACGAGGAGACCTCCGTCAAAGTATCTGACGACTTACTGCGTACCTTGATCCAGATCCCAACTAAAACTTTAAAACGGCTGCTGAAGGCCTCTGGAGGACCCTCTTTCACGAGTAAGGGGCCACCTGAAAATCCTGTCGGATTCAACAAGGGGTTTCTGTTTTCTGCCATCCGGAAGATTGATCCCGATTTTTCCCGAATCTTGGCTGAATTTGAGACAAAGATAGTTGCGAGTTCCCGAATCTCGACTGGTAAAGGTGGTGGAAACACGGAGAGGACGCAAGCAAGTGCCAGCTTTGACCTACTCTTGAAACGAGTCCCGGATCTAGCAACTCTGATGTCTTTTTCAACAGATGGCAAGAAAACTCAACAAGGTAACTCAAAGCAGGACGCACCAGAAGAAGATCCCGCCACCACTGAGTCTACTTCTCTTTTGAAGCTGGTGGAGTCGTTGCTATTGAACGACGTGAAGGAAAAGGGCGACGATACTAGTAAAATTCTTGTCGATGAACAAGAAGCTCTCAACAAAAACAACGACAACGATATAGAGGCACAGGCTCAGCAATACCTCTTGCAACAGGAACTGGAGGCACAAAAGCGCATCCTCTTGGAAGCTGTCACACAAAGGCCCATAGAATATCTGTTTTTGGTCCCGCGGTTGACGAATCCGATGCGATTGCTAGAACTCGTGACTGATGCCGTAAGTATAAAGTTAAGGCATTCCAATCTTTGCGTGAGATCCATCGTGTGTGCCATCTATGACGCCCTTAAGGCAGTCTGCGCTGAACTTTGTGCATCACATCCTTGGACATCACGTCCTTGATGAAATGTATGGGCGAGGAGTATCCACCTAAGGGAATAATGCTCTCCCATAGTACTTTTCAAGGATGCAGTTGAAAGATGAAGTGCGGACAGCTCTAATAAAGGGTCTTGGGCCTGTTGGTGGGGGAGGTGGAGAGCAGGACGACCATTCGTATGCCCTCGGTGGAAGCCAAGTAGAGGGTCAGCATGGGCGGAATTCAAGCCAGCAAGAAGATTCTGCAGTGTCTCTTCGGACAGGTGAAGCAGTTGTTAGTAGTAGCAGGACACTTTCAAGAACCTCGTCGGAGTCGGAAGAGCCTGTGGCACCACTAGGGCAAGGAAGTGGACCCAAGAATGGCCATACTCAACATCGTGATTCTTCATCCCAACAAAAATTGAAAAAGGTCGTTCTCGCTATTGACACCTGGCGTCGAGAAATTGGCGAAGATGCCTTCAGAAGTGACATATTGCAAGTCTTATTGCCGGAATTGGAACGCAGAATGAATGCCGTGGACAGGGAAATGGAACTACGCAAAGCTGAAATCTATTATAACGATTTCCTGCCCAAGTGGGTAGCTGTGACGACGGGTGTAGTGGCGTCTGGATTGTTTTACAACTCGGGAACAAGTCTTGGACGAGGTGCAGGAGGCAGTGATGCTACTAAAGTGGATTTGGAAACTGCAAAGGACAGACTACGGGAAAAGATCTTCGATGGAGAGAACGAAGAAGAAGAGTCATTGCGATTGGCCTTATTGGCGGCAGCGCCTGATGCTTTGGCTGGCTTAGTCGGCGGTCGTGACACCGATGATGAGCCTGAGGCCACCCCGCCTGGTGCAAGAATGTCGGCAAGAAGAGTAGCAGAAAAGCAACTTCGTCCGCATCAGCTTCCTGTTGTTACACTTGAAGATAGTTCCTGTGCAGCTGTGTCCTATCACTTGAGAGAAAACGCTGATGTCAGAACCTCGAGAAAAGGTGTTTTCCTATGCCCAAAAGCCCAAAAACGTATTGAAGAAGCTGCTAATGATCTCGCAAGTCCGCAAGCCTTACGAAAAACGCTCCAGAATGGCTTGATTGAAAACCTTTTCGCATTGGTCGGTCTTGATTTTTTCGAGCATGGTGTGCGGATCATGCTGGAAAACGAGTATCAAGAGAAATACAGCAACGATTTCTATCCAGAGTACGCACGTCACGCTGGTCAGAACCCCAACTGGCGCAGACGGGTGATGCGGAAAAGATTGCGAGACTTTGGATACACCGAAACAAATAAGAAGTTGAGGCCAATGGGAAGATGGTTTTTTGCGAATGAAGAGATCAGCGATGTTGAGCATGCCTCACCCGCACCTTCTAAGAGTCTAGCATTGGCAATAAAGCAAGACACACTTCATCTTGGCTCCACTTCCTCTGCCAGATTCGGAGTACGTGTGAAGATGCTATCTGCTTCAGCCGCGCCAACATGGACGAGGACCCAATCGACCCAGCCATCTACTCCAAAAAAAGACGATACTGGCGCTCCCTACACCGCTGATTTGATCCGCCTGGCTTATCACAACGACCGCGGATGTTGGTTTTTTCGGGAGTCTTTGGGTGAGCAGAAATGGATTGGGGGTTGTGAAGAGACTATTAGTATTACAAGTACTAGCTCTTCAAGTTCAACATCCTCAAGTGCAAAATCTACGTCTTCGTCTGGCTCAGGAGCCTTGATGTTCTACCTTACAGGGCGTCATTGGTTTCCCTATCCTGAGAGGTGTGGAAGCAGTGGTGCTGAGACCCCAAGGAGCAGCTCATCAGCAAGGGCCAAAACCTACCTAACGTCATCTAGTTCATGCACGATTGAGCTTCTCTCAAACCAAGATGACGTGCAAGCTGGCATCTTGGTTCTTGATGGAGGTGAGGTAACGTTTTTTCATCGTATGACGAAAAGGCCAGATGCGATATTGCAAATCATGCAAAGCATGCGGATGTACAGAGCTGCAGGGGGAAAGGCTACAACTTCTGCCATCTTCAAGGAGGTGCTTGCACTCTCATGGGAGGATCCCGCGAGTTTGGTCGTGGATGAGAATGCGAAGTTGATCGAGTCTACTTCTAACAGCACTGGCAAAAAGAGGAAGCCCAGGAGGACGCACCTGCCGCGGACCAATCAGAATGACATAACAGCGACTTCTAGAAGGTCTACGGACTTGGTCCATCAAAAACAAAGCCCAAAGCAGCCAGATCTCCTCAACGTGAAGAGCTACAAGGGAATGGATCACCTGCTAGGCGACTTCGTTGCCCCACAAATGCCCAGTGTGCTTTTCCTGTGCGTTTTCGTACTATTTGCCTTAACGGTGATGACTTTGAACGTAGCATTTTTCGTGGAGAACGAAGACGCACAAGAGTGGAAACTGCACATCCTCCTTTCTGGCGTGAGCCTACGCAAATACTGGCTGGGAAACATCATTTTCGATATTTTGTGGTTTTTGGTCTTGTCTCTCTGCCTATCAATTGCTTACACATTGAGTGGAATAGACTTCTTCAGCGGGAGAAACGCTTACGGTTGTGCGGCATTCTTGTTTTTCACGTTATTCGCTACTTCGGCAGTTTTGGTGACGTATGCGCGGTCTGAGAGCTCCACGACAAGTAGTTCTGGGAGTAAAAACCAGTCTTCAGCATCATCGCGTGGGGATCTGCTAGCCCTTTCGCTCTTTGGCCTTCACTTCTTCGGGGGGCTGGTGGTGTTATGAGGACAGTCTAATACCAGAAGCGGTGGCAGTTTCGCATTGATATTTCTACCTACAACTTCCCCTCCTACATGGTCCCACTGAGAGTGCAAGCACGTCCTGTAGGAGCAGTATCATATTACCGTATGTCAAATAAATTGAATCACCTATATTAATATATAACTTCTATATAGTCCTCTTTCTAGCCGTTTCCTTCGCCACCTCCTCTAATGGCCACATCCCTCTACCTCAGCGTCTTTTCCTTCGACCTCGCACAGCTGGTGCACTCGCAGAACGAACACAAGTTTCGGATTGATACGGTTTGTAGCTACTACTATCCATACTTCAGGCGACAGCGGATTCGCTCACGAAGAGACTGTGATTAAGGCTGTCGCAAATTCCCCACTTTGTTTTTGAGAGGCATTGTTTGATTCATTCATCCTAAAACCGTTTTGGTGCTAAAGGGGTAAAAAAAAGTGGTTCCAGGATGCTTGTTTTCAATGGAAGGTTTTTTTGATTTATGGAAGGTCTAATGTGGAAGAAACGGTTGCCGATTTGAAAAAGGGCGCTGCTATCACACAGAAGAGACGAAAAAGGCATATTTGGCAACACTGGAGAATCCTAGGATCTTTTTTGGATTAGTACCGACTAGTGTGGTTCTTGGTAGTACAGGAACAGATAATCGCGAGGAAAATAGTGCTGGGCTAGCGACGAGTACGGCGTCCTCAACGAAGAGTGCTGGTGGAAAGAAGATAGAAACTAGTAGCCATGACTACCTGGACCACGACGAAGCAACGGCTAGTACTTCTGCTTCCTTCTCTTCCCTCGTGGAGAAAACCGGCACATTTAGTCTCCACTTTTCCCAGAGTATCGCACCCGGCATGTTGCTGCCTGCCTACCCTCTCCTACTTGCCTTAGTGAAGATCGGACTGCGTCGAGGCGTGTTATATCCGAGGTTTGGGCAATTTTTGGGAGCTGTGCTATTAAGCAATGGTGGGGAGGACGTTTTGGAGGTCATAAAACAGCTTCAGCCGAGGTTCGCGAATGCGTTCTTTTTAGGATTTTTAAGGCTCAACTTTTATTGGTCATTGGGTTTAGGGTTCTTACTGGGTGGTCACTAAGTAAGATCGTGGGTTAGGTCACTGAAAGAGAAGAAGAAGAGTAGGTATAAACCGATGATATCTGTTGTAGAAGTAAGTAAGAAGAGTAAAGTACAGAGAATCTTGTAACAAGTATAAATATTAATGATATTTGTAAGTAAGAAGAAAAAAGTACAGAGAATCTTGTAAGTCCTTATAAATATTAATGATATTTGTGATAGTGATTAAAAATAGAAAAGCTAAAATTAAGGGTTGGTCTCAGTGAAGACTGAGATCGCAGAGGGGCTGCTGTCCTTAGAGAACAGGGGAAAATGAAGGGAAAAGGGGAGAGCGTTGAAGATGGTCTCTCCCGTTCACAATCAGTGACCAGTGACTGCTGACCTCTAATAGGAGAAGAAGAAGAGTCGACAACTACAACATTTCATTTGTTTGACAAGATTAGAGGAGGAGAGGAGGTTGATGGAGGATCGATTAAGGGCTTCCGAATTGCATCCCTCACTACCATCCTTGGCTCCTCTTCAAGGGGGAAATAGGTCAAGGATGTTCTGGAGAATGCAACTCGGCAGCCTCTAAATCGAAGACTTCCACCGGCGGCACCCTTTCGAAGAAGAATGAAGCAGCAAGAAGTCAAGCCTTGTTTGTACGAAAATTGATCGCTGCTGTCAGGCCTATGGACGCTATTTTTCCTGCGTTCTTGCGAACCAACCGCTTTACTACGTGCCGTGTTGGTGGCTTAGGGTCATGTCGGATTGTGACGGAGTTTCTTGGGGAGGAAGAGGGTCCACCAGGAAAAGACACAGATGGTCCACTTCCTCATGCGCACGTCAACACAGAGAAGCAGCTGCAGTATTTCACTCTGAGGCTCGAGAGTCCACGCACTAGTCTTGGACTACCAAAAGACTGGTTAGAGAAGTACGGAAAACAGCTAGACCGACTGCGGGCAGCTGTGTCTAGTATTGCGAATAAGCACAAGAAAACAGCTCGTCCTGGGGCTTCATCCTTAGATGACGGCCAGGGACCAGCACAGGGTACGCAAACGCATACAAATGCGTCGGCAGGAGCTGCTTTTATACGGGCAGAACCAGATGAGGGACCACCAAGAGACACAGCACACACATCTACAGGTAGTGAAGATCGAGAACTCAGACTCATCCAGAATCAAGAAGAGCCACCCTTGACGGACACTGAAATTGCCCGTTTGCGACTCTTTAGACCCGTTTTAGAAATGTTTCTCCGAAAACAACACGACAACAACCACCTGGATGCTGATATGCGTGGCAAGTTGTTTCACTACCTAGTCGAGCGTGGAGACTTGGGCCCCATTTTGTTGCGTCATAGTGGCGGGACCAATTTTCGTGATCGGATTGTACGGTTTGTGGAGCAGCCCTTGGTTTTGAGGTTACGCCGCGATGAGGTGCTGAAATATTTCACAGAAAGTGCTGGCATCGACGCGACGGAAAACTTCGAGAAGGTGTACAACAGGGTAGCAGAAAGCATGTTGCGATTCCTGTGTGCGGGGGACCAGCTGTTACAGTTACTAGCATCAATAGGGTTCTACGCAGTCTGCCTCTTCCTGTACTACGGACGAGGACGTCATGATCACAGGACACCACCAGGAGACCTCCGAGAAGATCATCATTAAGGCTACAAGAAATCTCCCATTTTCACAGGAGTCTACCTTGGTCCCTTTTATTTTTCCAGGGAAAAGGAGACTCCCAGGTGGATGCTGCTGAAAGATGGATTTCTCTTAGTTGTAACATCAGCCTTCGCCTTCAAGAAATTACTCATCACCAGCAGATAACGATAGTACTACCACCTCCATGACTCCTCCTGGAGGAGTAGCAGCCCTCCGAGACGAGGATCCTGACGTTCTTGCTGAGCGACAAAGGGTAGAACAATGGGCTTTGCCCAGCAGGAGATCAACAACAGCTTGCCGTGATGAAAACGCTGTGGAACCAGATCCAATCCTTGTGCTCAAGAATCTGCAGAAGATTTTCCATCCATCAACATCAAGCAGAGGTGGTGGTCCTGTTCATGCTGTTCGTGGGATTGACTTTTTTGCTGATACACCTGGCGTCTTCGGCTTACTCGGCCTAAACGGCGCAGGAAAGACCACCACTTTCAAAATGATGCTCGGACTGGAGACGCCGACAGCTGGGCAAGTTTTCATACGTCCAGACTTAAGGCTCAATAGATTGCATTTGTTCTACTACCAAAATATCATCCTTTTTCGCAGCTTGCTTTTTGGGAAGATTCTGAAGAAATGTTGAAGGACGACCAGGAAAAAAATTATGAAATATTTTGAGCTCCTCTAACAGATAGTAGAATCGGGTACTGTCCACAATTTGACACGCCTTTGTTTGGCGAGCTCAGTGTATGGGAAAACCTATGCATCTATGCGCGATTGAAGATTCCTTCCATTTTTGAGGAGCAAGAAAGGCAATCGTCCACCAGGAGAACCTCTCGGTCTCGTTTGACCGATTTGATCCTAGACCTGGATCTCGGTCCCTACCTCGATCGCAAAGCTGACCTGCTGTCAGGCGGAAACAAACGCAAGGTCTGTATCGCCATCGCTCTGCTTGGTTCTCCCAAGGTTCTGTTTCTAGATGAGCCGTCGACCGGACAGGATTCTGTGGCCAAGCGGCGTCTTTGGCGAGCAATAAGGAAATACGTCTCTTTGGACCAAAGTTTGTGCATTCTTTGCACCCATAGTATGGAGGAAGCAGAGAATTTGTGTGATCGAGTAGCAATACAAGTTGCCGGCCGCTGGCGGTGTCTCGGAAGTCCGGCTCATCTTAGAGCCGTGTATGGAGGTGGCTACGAGCTTCTGCTGGAAAATACATCGTCAAATACAAAGCCAGGAGTCAAGATGAGGGGGCCGCGATGCAATCTAGCAGACTCTAAAACAACTCCAGAGTCATCTGTTCGAGCGTCTCCACCGAGTCGACCGAGTCGTGAAGAAGATATCTGCTGTATCTCTCGCCTACAACTTCTACCTGATGAAGGAACAACTACTACATCTTCATCTTCTAGAAGTCCTCCACCAGGAGCATCGTCCCCAGATGAACTAGGAGGGGAACAACAACAAGAACAAGATCTGCTAGAAGATGCAGGTTTTTTTCTCCTCCACGAACTACTAGAAAAGTTGAACCTGGTTTTCCACGTCACCAGTATGACTCGGCAACAGAACATTACGGTGCGGTTTCCCACAGTGCAGAGTCCTAGGGAAATAGCCTCTATCCTAGACTTCTTTCGAGAGAACACAGGAACTTTGTCAAGGACCTTTGTCATATCGCAGATGCGATTGGAACATGTCTTTTTACGCTTTTCAGCTGATGTCGACGATGCAGTTGTGGCAGATCATCATGGTGTCGTGAACAATCATCAAGTATATAATTAATACAACAAACCACGAAAAGTATAAGTAGGAAAGAGTTGTGCGTGTTTTTAAGAAGTGAGTGCTTTTTAAGAAGTGTAACAAGTGATTTACTTTTATCTTTGAATACCACTACTGTCTACTCCCCAGGACATTATCGAGAGGTGCGCCCCGGGTAGGAGGCGGAAAGAGACAACTATCGCGCGGGGGGGGAGCCCGGTGGCGCTTATGTACTGCAGAAGTTTCTGCTAGATTGATAGGTTTACAACGTGACAATCCGATTCCGATCATAAGGTGGATGACCTTCATCGACATCGTATCAACATTGTGATTTATGACTGTATCTATGTGTAAGTGTAACTCTTAATACACCTAGTCCTCTACAACAGCTGCCCCTGCCCCCGTCGTTTGAAATCTAAAGAATATCGCACTCGTATCAGTTAATGCTACTAGTAAGGAGAGATCAAGCGTTGAGAATTGCTTCTCACAAGAATAAAGGCATAATGACTTCATCAAGTAGCATTCTTAAGTACCGTTCAAGAGGAGGAATAACAACAAGAAGATTGATTGACGGATTCCAGTGAACGTGCTAAGATCATAAGCTGCTGCGTAGGTGTAGGCACAGAGTGAGTCATTGGCTTCAGGTTAAGATGATATTAAGCTTCTTTACCTTCAGAGGGAAGCGCGGCAAGTAGACCTGCCGAGAAGGTGAACGTACAACGACCAAGAGTCTTGAGTATGAGGTAACCTAAAGACCCTCGTCACTGAGGAGCTGCGGAGTGAAGAGCGACAGAGATCACGACCATGATGGAACAAACTCGAAAATATTGGAAATTGTAGATGAAGCATCTTAGTTCTTTCGGACCAAGCTAAAAGCTACGCCGTATTAAGGATCATGATGTCGACTGGGTATGATAAAAAGATATGAAAACATCTTCGTTCTTCATCAAGTCAAACAAGAACAAGATCAACATCTTCAGACATCAAAGCGAAGATGATCCAAATTGATGATCCAAATTTCCAAGAGATCATCTTCTACAAGTGAAAGAACTAGTAGATGAGAAAGAGATCATGATCAATGATAATGTAGATCCTGTAGAGAGAGCAGAGTGGCAGACGTAGATCCTGTAGAGCGAGAGTGTAGATCCTGCAGAGACGAGAGATCATCATCTTCTAGAAGTGAAAGATGAACTAGTAGAGAACGAGATCATGATCATGAAGATCACGAGGTGGCAATGTTATAATGAGGAAACAAAAATCTACCACCAGAAGAAGAGGTACTAGATCCTCCTGTAGAGAGAGAGACCTCCTGTAGATCCTGTAGTTTTCGCGGATTCTAGTGGTGGAACGCGTCAAAACTGGGCGCGGGCCTCCCCCTGTGCCTCTCAGCGGGTTCCACAGGGACCTCCTGGCCTCTGCTGACCCCCGTGGGCGGGAGCTCTCCGGGGTAAAAGGCCGCCGAGGGCGGCCACGGTCGCAAGAGCAAGCAAGCCGATGACCAAGGGCCCGGAGGGTACAGGCTGCGCGGCTCAGGGGGTACAGGCTGCACACCTTCGGAGGCCTTGCGTGACCGGCGCACTGCTGCGGCGGCGAAGCATATCGGAGGCAATTAGGGCACAGGCAGGCGCCGGGACGGGGGCGCAGGCGGTCCCTTGGGCTCCTTTTGAAGCCTCCCACCCACATCGGAGGCCTGTAGGCAACAGCCAGGCAGCTGGAAGGGAGCGGAGGAGGGAGGTCACCTGGCCCCCTTTTGAGGCCTTCCACCCCCGGCAGACAGCCTGAAAAGGGGCCCGGGGCGCACGGTGCCCCCCCCTACGCTACGGGGGGGCACCGTCGCCCCGCGCCCTGGCTCATATATAATATTTATAAGAAGAAGATCATCTCTGTCGCCTTCATCAATGTGAATGTTGATGCAGAAGCACTAGTGAGTGCAAGAACTTCTTCCAATCTACCTATAAAGATCTTGTTCAACAACCCCCCACGAGCAAGACGCATCATGATGGTAATTAGCAGATCCATAGATGAATTGTAGATTAGAGATCGCCAACATGTTATATTTTTGCAGGAAAGTTTACGAGTTGTGAGTCACTTATTTTCGAGACAGTTGCGGCCTTGGAAAGAGTCCGACTGCTAGAGACTTAAGTAATTTCATACACTTCATCAATCTACAACACTTGATAGTTCTTGAAAAAGCAACTTCATCTTTCTACAACACTTGATGTTTCTTGAAAAAGCAACTTCATCTTTCTACAACACTTGATGTTTCTTGAAAAAGCAACTTCATCTTTCTACAACACTTGATGTTTCTTGAAAAAGCAACTTCATCTTTCTACAACACTTGATGTTTCTTGAAAAAGCAACTTCATCTTTCTACAACACTTGATGTTTCTTGAAAAAGCAACTTCATCTTTCTACAACACTTGATGTTTCTTGAAAAAGCAACTTCATCTTTCTACAACACTTGATGTTTCTTGAAAAAGCAACTTCATCTTTCTACAACACTTGATGTTTCTTGAAAAAGCAACTTCATCTTTCTACAACACTTGATGTTTCTTGAAAAAGCAACTTCATCTTTCTACAACACTTGATGTTTCTTGAAAAAGCAACTTCATCTTTCTACAACACTTGATGTTTCTTGAAAAAGCAACTTCATCTTTCTACAACACTTGATGTTTCTTGAAAAAGCAACTTCATCTTTCTACAACACTTGATGTTTCTTGAAAAAGCAACTTCATCTTTCTACAACACTTGATGTTTCTTGAAAAAGCAACTTCATCTTTCTACAACACTTGATGTTTCTTGAAAAAGCAACTTCATCTTTCTACAACACTTGATGTTTCTTGAAAAAGCAACTTCATCTTTCTACAACACTTGATGTTTCTTGAAAAAGCAACTTCATCTTTCTACAACACTTGATGTTTCTTGAAAAAGCAACTTCATCTTTCTACAACACTTGATGTTTCTTGAAAAAGCAACTTCATCTTTCTACAACACTTGATGTTTCTTGAAAAAGCAACTTCATCTTTCTACAACACTTGATGTTTCTTGAAAAAGCAACTTCATCTTTCTACAACACTTGATGTTTCTTGAAAAAGCAACTTCATCTTTCTACAACACTTGATGTTTCTTGAAAAAGCAACTTCATCTTTCTACAACACTTGATGTTTCTTGAAAAAGCAACTTCATCTTTCTACAACACTTGATGTTTCTTGAAAAAGCAACTTCATCTTTCTACAACACTTGATGTTTCTTGAAAAAGCAACTTCATCTTTCTACAACACTTGATGTTTCTTGAAAAAGCAACTTCATCTTTCTACAACACTTGATGTTTCTTGAAAAAGCAACTTCATCTTTCTACAACACTTGATGTTTCTTGAAAAAGCAACTTCATCTTTCTACAACACTTGATGTTTCTTGAAAAAGCAACTTCATCTTTCTACAACACTTGATGTTTCTTGAAAAAGCAACTTCATCTTTCTACAACACTTGATGTTTCTTGAAAAAGCAACTTCATCTTTCTACAACACTTGATGTTTCTTGAAAAAGCAACTTCATCTTTCTACAACACTTGATGTTTCTTGAAAAAGCAACTTCATCTTTCTACAACACTTGATGTTTCTTGAAAAAGCAACTTCATCTTTCTACAACACTTGATGTTTCTTGAAAAAGCAACTTCATCTTTCTACAACACTTGATGTTTCTTGAAAAAGCAACTTCATCTTTCTACAACACTTGATGTTTCTTGAAAAAGCAACTTCATCTTTCTACAACACTTGATGTTTCTTGAAAAAGCAACTTCATCTTTCTACAACACTTGATGTTTCTTGAAAAAGCAACTTCATCTTTCTACAACACTTGATGTTTCTTGAAAAAGCAACTTCATCTTTCTACAACACTTGATGTTTCTTGAAAAAGCAACTTCATCTTTCTACAACACTTGATGTTTCTTGAAAAAGCAACTTCATCTTTCTACAACACTTGATGTTTCTTGAAAAAGCAACTTCATCTTTCTACAACACTTGATGTTTCTTGAAAAAGCAACTTCATCTTTCTACAACACTTGATGTTTCTTGAAAAAGCAACTTCATCTTTCTACAACACTTGATGTTTCTTGAAAAAGCAACTTCATCTTTCTACAACACTTGATGTTTCTTGAAAAAGCAACTTCATCTTTCTACAACACTTGATGTTTCTTGAAAAAGCAACTTCATCTTTCTACAACACTTGATGTTTCTTGAAAAAGCAACTTCATCTTTCTACAACACTTGATGTTTCTTGAAAAAGCAACTTCATCTTTCTACAACACTTGATGTTTCTTGAAAAAGCAACTTCATCTTTCTACAACACTTGATGTTTCTTGAAAAAGCAACTTCATCTTTCTACAACACTTGATGTTTCTTGAAAAAGCAACTTCATCTTTCTACAACACTTGATGTTTCTTGAAAAAGCAACTTCATCTTTCTACAACACTTGATGTTTCTTGAAAAAGCAACTTCATCTTTCTACAACACTTGATGTTTCTTGAAAAAGCAACTTCATCTTTCTACAACACTTGATGTTTCTTGAAAAAGCAACTTCATCTTTCTACAACACTTGATGTTTCTTGAAAAAGCAACTTCATCTTTCTACAACACTTGATGTTTCTTGAAAAAGCAACTTCATCTTTCTACAACACTTGATGTTTCTTGAAAAAGCAACTTCATCTTTCTACAACACTTGATGTTTCTTGAAAAAGCAACTTCATCTTTCTACAACACTTGATGTTTCTTGAAAAAGCAACTTCATCTTTCTACAACACTTGATGTTTCTTGAAAAAGCAACTTCATCTTTCTACAACACTTGATGTTTCTTGAAAAAGCAACTTCATCTTTCTACAACACTTGATGTTTCTTGAAAAAGCAACTTCATCTTTCTACAACACTTGATGTTTCTTGAAAAAGCAACTTCATCTTTCTACAACACTTGATGTTTCTTGAAAAAGCAACTTCATCTTTCTACAACACTTGATGTTTCTTGAAAAAGCAACTTCATCTTTCTACAACACTTGATGTTTCTTGAAAAAGCAACTTCATCTTTCTACAACACTTGATGTTTCTTGAAAAAGCAACTTCATCTTTCTACAACACTTGATGTTTCTTGAAAAAGCAACTTCATCTTTCTACAACACTTGATGTTTCTTGAAAAAGCAACTTCATCTTTCTACAACACTTGATGTTTCTTGAAAAAGCAACTTCATCTTTCTACAACACTTGATGTTTCTTGAAAAAGCAACTTCATCTTTCTACAACACTTGATGTTTCTTGAAAAAGCAACTTCATCTTTCTACAACACTTGATGTTTCTTGAAAAAGCAACTTCATCTTTCTACAACACTTGATGTTTCTTGAAAAAGCAACTTCATCTTTCTACAACACTTGATGTTTCTTGAAAAAGCAACTTCATCTTTCTACAACACTTGATGTTTCTTGAAAAAGCAACTTCATCTTTCTACAACACTTGATGTTTCTTGAAAAAGCAACTTCATCTTTCTACAACACTTGATGTTTCTTGAAAAAGCAACTTCATCTTTCTACAACACTTGATGTTTCTTGAAAAAGCAACTTCATCTTTCTACAACACTTGATGTTTCTTGAAAAAGCAACTTCATCTTTCTACAACACTTGATGTTTCTTGAAAAAGCAACTTCATCTTTCTACAACACTTGATGTTTCTTGAAAAAGCAACTTCATCTTTCTACAACACTTGATGTTTCTTGAAAAAGCAACTTCATCTTTCTACAACACTTGATGTTTCTTGAAAAAGCAACTTCATCTTTCTACAACACTTGATGTTTCTTGAAAAAGCAACTTCATCTTTCTACAACACTTGATGTTTCTTGAAAAAGCAACTTCATCTTTCTACAACACTTGATGTTTCTTGAAAAAGCAACTTCATCTTTCTACAACACTTGATGTTTCTTGAAAAAGCAACTTCATCTTTCTACAACACTTGATGTTTCTTGAAAAAGCAACTTCATCTTTCTACAACACTTGATGTTTCTTGAAAAAGCAACTTCATCTTTCTACAACACTTGATGTTTCTTGAAAAAGCAACTTCATCTTTCTACAACACTTGATGTTTCTTGAAAAAGCAACTTCATCTTTCTACAACACTTGATGTTTCTTGAAAAAGCAACTTCATCTTTCTACAANTCCAGCTGCTTTTTTAGGAGGTAGCTCTGGCAACTCAGGTTCGTCAGCCACTCCTGCTGCTTTTTTAGGAGGTAGCTCTGGCAACTCAGGTTCGTCAGCCACTCCTGCTGCTTTTTTAGGAGGTAGCTCTGGCAACTCAGGTTCGTCAGCCACTCCTGCTGCTTTTTTAGGAGGTAGCTCTGGCAACTCAGGTTCGTCAGCCACTCCTGCTGCTTTTTTAGGAGGTAGCTCTGGCAACTCAGGTTCGTCAGCCACTCCTGCTGCTTTTTTAGGAGGTAGCTCTGGCAACTCAGGTTCGTCAGCCACTCCTGCTGCTTTTTTAGGAGGTAGCTCTGGCAACTCTGGTTCGTCAGCCACTCCTGCTTTTTTACGAGAAGGTGGAAGAAATCGCGGCTGTCGTGGACGAGGTCGAAGAAGGAAAACTAGAACTTCTAGTTCTTGTGAAGACGAACCTTCTGCGACGAGGAGGACGAATTCTTGTACACCAGGTCCTCTATACTTTTATTTTTCTCCTTATTTCCATGCTTATATCAACATCAACTTCTTACTTCATGACATCTTTTCCTTTTCTTCCCTTCACCAACGCAGCACCTTTACATTAAATTTAAGTAGATCCATTCTTTCCTTGAAGCCAATTGAAAAGGAATCTTCTGCGACGAGGAGGACAAACACGAATTCTTCTTGTACACCAGGTTCTTGTCGAGGTGGTGAAGAAGCGACTACTACTGTTCATCACGAAGATCAAGAAGATCCTCTTCATCATGATGCTGCTAGAAGAACTACGTCACCTAGAAGAACTACGTCACCAGTTTTAACTGCGCAAGAAGTCAGGAGTTGCGGAAGTGGCCTGCAGCGGAGTGTGAATGCGACGACCGTTGACGGAGGTGAAGAAGAAGAAACTTGTAAGATGAAGTTGTTGATGAACCACGAGGACGAGCTGCTTGCCGGCCCCGAAGTAACCGGAAATTACGGCAGCTACTAAACTTCAAGTTGTAGTCTAAAAAAGATTATAGTTTCATCCAGTTAGTTTCAGTTTCTTCCAGCTTCCATTTTTTCCAGCAGTACCAACAGTATAGATTCAACATTCGAAGCTTGGAATTGGGACGAGATTTCTTTCTGCAAAAGAACACTATTTGAAAGATTATTTGTTCCTGTTAACACTTAAGTAGAATATCTTTCCTTTCAAAGGAATCCTTTGCATCTTATTTAATTACTGGGACAGTACCTCATGCTAAGTAGGTAAATGAATGACTGAACACTAGTAAGAACAGATTCTCATCTAAGGACATAGCTTGGAGGAGGATCTGCTGTCCCCTGGGGACCTAATGAGAGAACACAATGGGAGCGACGGTTCTATCAATCCGCCAGAGCCCGACGGCGACGGTTCTATCAATCCGCCGAAGGCCAAGAACAGAGCCGCAAGAAGAAAGAGGAAGAAGAAGAGCGGCCCACCAGGTCACAGAGGAGATGAAGAAGTAGGAGAAGAAGCACCTCAACAACAACAACAACAACAACATCGTGAAGCCGATCATGTTGCTGCTGTACCTCGACAACAACAACAACAACATCGTGAAGCCGATCATGTTGCTGCTGTACCTCGACAACAACAACAACAACATCGTGAAGCCGATCATGTTGCTGCTGTACCTCGACAACAACAACAACATCGTCGACAACAACAACAACAACAACAACAACAACAACAACATCGACAACAACAACAACAACATCTACAACCTGGTCCATTAAAACGCGTCGCATTGATGATCTTCCCCTCTCTGAGTGAAGACAGCGTTGCGCAAGTTTTTCCGGTAACCTTTTCTCATGGAGGCGGGCTCTTCAAGAAAAAGAACGAAAAAGACAAAGTTATGGGAAGTAGATGTTTTTTATATAGAGAGTGCTCCAGCTGTATTTCATCTTTCTTTCAAGAAGAGCCAAGCAGGGTTAGTATAGTGTCTTTAATCTTCCATATTAAATATTTATAGAGTGCTCCTACTTAATTCCACGGGTTCCAAAAATATCCTTCTTGGAACCACGTCATCAACAATAATAGTTAGTATATTATCATAAGTTAGTTGTTGTACTTGGTCGTTGACGATGAGCAAGATCTTCTTCGATGTTCAACATCTTCACTTTTCTACAAAGAACATGATAGATGTAGTAATTCTAGTATTTACAATCGCGGCAGGTTGTTGACTGTTGATTGGTACATAATTTGGCTTCCCGACAGGGTCCAAATGGGATGCTTCCTTTCTATTTCGTACAATGTACTTATGTTAGAGTAGTTTATAGAACGGATGTAGGATGGACTTGGATGGATCGAATGGACCCCCCTGATTCTTCCGATCTTACTGGAAATGGTGGGAAGCCCATCCGATCCATCCGATCCATCCCATCCCGGATCTGGCACCCCTATGAGTTATTCTATTATAATGTAGCTCTAGTTCTTGTAGTTGGTCTTGTTGTAGTTTTTAGAGGACCTCCTCCGCGCGTAGTTAAGTAGAGCACCAGTTCTAAATATGACTGGCCTCCCGCAGAAATCGCAAATGCTGCTCAGATGTACGCAAGGCTGGTCAGGCTGCTTCTTCAAGAGGGGCAAGTAGAACGACAAGATGTTGCACGACCGGAAGAGGAGCACCACCACCAGCAGAATATGAAGATGACCTTCAGCCATTTGCATAAGATGTTTTCGCGACAGGTGCCGAAAGTTGTGCAGGGTTTTTTGCATGATATTTGGGGGAACGGAAACTACCATCAAGGCATTCGCTGGGACGTCGAGCAGGAATGGAGGAGCTTCGCGGAAATGATAATTAAGCATTTTAATTTATTTTCATCATGATTTCCTTGTTCGTCGTCTTGTCCCCTAGAAAAAAAAATCCATTTCGGTCTTGATGTCCCACTCACATCTTCATTAGGGTCGTCGTGAGCTCTAAGATAAGCGCCTATCTACACTACTTGCCGTGGCCAACACCAGCAACACCAGCAACAGCACAAAATGTTGCGCGCCAATATCGCAGTCTACATGATGCATTTGTGGACATTATCTACCAGAGTTTGGATCAGGATGATGCCGCAGCAAGTCCCGAAGACCACGATAAAAGGAAAAATGAGGACCTCATTTCCGCCGTCGACTCTCTATACATTAAGGCTACAACAAGCAATTATAGCAATCCATCTTGACTAGTATCCATCTTCTTGACTGTTTCGCTATCCGACGTGGAGCTTGCGAACCCGTCGTCGCTGGATGGAACATCGACCACTTGCCGCCACTAGTATAGGCATGAAGATCTTGGTCGTGGTCCTCCCGTTTTCATTCTTTAAGGGGAAATAAATATAGATAAAGGGAGCTGCAACCAAGATGCTGATGGCGATGGATTTCTCTTAGTTCTAAACATCAAGCAAATGCACGCACTATCGAGCTGCGCATTAACCGCGCTGGTGGTATGCACGAACCGCCTTTACCGATGTGGCTCCTTCGGATCGCTCTGGAAGCGAGGGGCGAAGAAGTGCCGAATTGGTTGCGTGAGAATCCGGAAGCGGAATTGTCAACTTTTTGTAGACCTCTACCTCATCTTCAACATCAAGGTGCTGATCATCCGGCGCAAGAATCATGGAAACAACTCGACACCTTTCAATGGACGGGTCGAGGAATCCTCGCGACTAATCACTACGAAGATTAAGGCTACAGTTTATCACTATCTTCGTGTCATGTGGACTGCAGCTCTGCTGAGGCGTCCTGAGTGAGGCAGCCCTGCTGAGGCGTCCTGAGTGAGGCAGCCCTGCTGAGTCGTGTTGAGTGGGGGCGGTCGGTCCCCATTTTTTTTTTATAAGTAAATAAACAAGGGTCCGACCACGAACAATAAACTTAGGGGGACCTCCCAGGGTATGTCACTCAAGCAGGGATCATAGTGAAAAACTAGCGCTAAGAAGATCAATGGAGGCACGACAGAAGGTCGCGGAAGCTGGAGAAATTATTCTACTGGTATCGTTACAGTCTCGTGGACCGTTGCATCGCAGGATCCATCCAGTGGCGCAATGTCGACATGGGGGCCCTTTGGAGAAGCTGTTTGTAGAAGCGAGTGGAAGATGCTACAAAAAGAAGAAGTCAGCGGCTATAATAGTAGCTTTGAATATGTACTATGAATATGATACACAGAAAAGACGGAACCGAACCCGAAGGGTTCATCTTAGGGAGGTTGTAGACTAAAATAGAACCAAGTACTTACTATCAAAAGTCGCAGTGCCCAGCAACTAGAAGTACTAGTACTTGTTCTGTAATGTTGAGATCAGCGTCACGACAGCGAACAAGTCACAACTCAACTATGATTAGTGCTAGAAAAGGATGCGAAGATCGAAAGTAATTGTTTCTTGTTAAGTTAAGGAAGCTATTGAAGGTTGACTCATCGTAATCCACTAGTATGGTCTAGAACTACGCGATCATTAATGCTAGAAATTTCGACGTAGGATCATGCTAGAAAAGACATTTTTTCAGAAAGTTGAATGAACTTTTTCAGAAGGAACACTTCTAGGCAGTACATTTTTTTTTTTTGGCTCTCCGCCCTCCAGTGCATAATTTATTCTCTTTTTCTTTTCCTTGGTACTATTATCAAATGTACTATAGAATATATATTATATTGATTATGGTAAAAAAACAAGTTGTAGATTGATTAAATGCTTCTTGGACGGAGGTCGCGTTGGGAAGTTCGAGGTCGGTTTTTATTGTCCAAAAAAGCGTTCTCCTTCTTGATGTACAACCTCCTCGTAGTGTACAACTACAAATACAACTTTATTTTACTATTTTTTAGTTGTACTCTACTTCTATCTTTACTAAATAAGAGTAGAGTAGATGATGTGCTGTATTTTCATCTTCAACAAGATCGATCTCATACTAGCGATAGAGTAGTAAATAGATGTCCTCGTTCTAAGCCGCGCAGTAGAAGCTATTCACATGCCGGAAGGTTATCTGGTAGAGCTGCGTGAGGACTGAGAAGTGGAGTTATTGAGAAGAAGTTGTTGAACAACTTGAACTTTTTTCAATTATCTTCTTCCTCTTCTTACAGATGCATGGGCAATTTTTTCGGAGTCAGGACGAGCTCGATGGACCTGCAAGATGATCCTCGATGTTAATCTTGGCGCTCACGACGCGCACATGTATTTTTAGAATTTACTGAGAAAATTGATCTAATCTTTTTTTATCTCGCGTCACGGTGCCGCCGGGCGTAGGGAACAAACGGCAACTACGGCCGCGGGGAACGATGAGCCCTGCGGAAGCGCCGTGATGATTGTTGTACTACTTAGGTGCTTTGAACAATGGCTGCACTATCACTCGAGAGGTTGTATTATAACAAGATTTGAATAGAGTAGCAGTAGGGAAGATTATGATCAACATGAATGTAAATGTATGCTATTTTCTTATTCCGCCTACGCCTGGGTCTTGGCACTTATACTTCTAAGATAATGTTGGACGAGGAGCAATAAATAGCGGGACATCTCCTAGCGCGCGCGAACATAAGTAATAATAATAGCAGGGGTTCATTGTTTTTAGGGTTTACAATAAAGATTTAAAGTAATTAGGAGCTTAACTCTTAATTTTTTCAGATCTTTCTCGACGTTTTTCTCTTAAACATAAATACTATATAAGACATCTACTAAAACTGCCGAAAAGGAAAAAGGTGTCACTCACCTGGTACTCCTGCTGATCTTGAATCTAATAACTTCTTGTTTTTCCTTTGGTTAACTATGGATTATTATTATTCCTGATCCAAAAACTTAGCTATGTCACATCATCCATCCACCGAATTGCACCTCAACGAAAATAGGATTTTGTGCAATTAGCTGTGCAGGCAGAGATGTATTTTTAGAGTGACACTGGAAGCACGGAGCGCGTGTCTCTGAGCCAACAGATCCTTTATGTGTTCAAGTTCAACTATCAAATCATCCCGATTCGGTATAAAGGTTGACCAAGGAGGAGGAGGAGAGAAATGTCTAGAGTTGAAGATAACCGAAGTGAACGAAAGAAAAAAAGCCAGCACCTCTTGGCCTACTATTCTGATATTATTGTACTTATAGCATTAGAAGCACTTCCTTGGTCGTTTATACCATTGTATAGAATTAGTAAAAACTGGCTATAGGAGAAGCAAAGGAGGTAGGCTAAATGGAATCTGCGGAAGAAGCTATTTGCGGAAGAAGCTAGTAGCATGTGAAAGAGACTGCACTCGATCTTGTTCCTGAAGCGATAGCATTGATGAATTGGTATAGAGGGACTAGTCGTGTCCCGTGTGTTCAGCGGTCCGAGACATGAGAGAGGTGAAAGAATGAGAGGTAGCTGCTAGGAGCGGCAGAGAGGATAGAACGCGTAATGAGCGGCACGGCGACGGCCCAACTGTCACCCACTGAGCCCCCCACCCGTTTGAGGCCTCCGCGTTCAGGCCGCGGAGGCGCCTACCGCTGTCCGTGGCTCGCGTGCCTCTTCGCAGACGCTCGCGCCCGCGGCCTTCCACACCGAGACCAGCAGGCCGGAGGCTGAGCCGCCAAGCCTTGACATTCCAAAACCCTGACCCGCGGAGCTCTGAGGTGCCAAACCCTGACATCGCCCAACTCTGCGGCGCGAAGCCTTGACATACCAAAGCACTGACCTGCCGAACTCTGAGGCTCCCAGCCCTGACATCGCCCAACCCGGAGCCGCCAAACCTTGACACTCCAAAACACTGACCCGCGGAACTCTGAGGTGCCAAGCCTTGACATCGCCCAACTCTGAGGTGTGAAGCCCTGACATTCCAAAGCATTGACCTGCCAACCTCTGAGGCCCCAAACCCTGACATCGCCCAACCCTGAGGCGGAAAGCCCTGGCACTTCAAAGCCCCGACTGGCGGAACTCTGGGGTGCCAAGCCCTGACACCGCCCAACCCTGAGGTGCAGAGCCCCGACACTTCAAAACCTTGACCCGCGGAATTCTGAGGCGCGAAGCCCTGACATCGGCCAACTCTGAGGCGTGAAGCCCCGACATTCCAAAACGCTGACCTGCGACACGTTGAGGCGCCCGCGGTCCTCTGAGGTGCTTAGCCTTGACACCGCCCACCCCTGAGGCGTGAAGCCCCGACATCCCAAAACACTGACCCGCGAAGCTCTGGGGCTTTTTTAACTCCTGACATTGCCCAACTCTGAGGCGGGAAGCCCTGGCATTCCAAAGCACTGACCTGCGAAACTCTGAGGCGCCAAACCCTGACAGTGGCGAAGGAACTCTGAGGCCGTGAACTCTAAGACGCCAAACCCCGACACGCTAAACCCTGACCGCCGTTTTTCCGTTCAAAACCCTGAGAGCTGGATCCTGACACTTGTGCCCAATTTTGCAGATCCATCTCAGATGCCAAATCTGACACGGCCGCGATTTAGCCCTTAGCGGCAGCCTTGAGACTCCTCGGCCTTGCCCTTAAAACCCTGAGAGTCCTGGCCCCTTTTTTTGTGCTCCTTGTGATTCTCCTTGCTCGCCCTTAAAACCCTGACGCCGGACCTCGATTTTTGTCGATCATTAATAAAGAGAGGATAGTGCTAGCATTGAAGTTGATGAGTTACTAGGCTGACAGCATGATCCTTCTATTCTTCCTAGAAGACATTCGGGCTATAAGGATGAGATCTTTCATGTCTTTCTAACTATGCTAGAAAATTTCATCTTCGTAGATCTACTTGAGCACATGGCATTTCGGGTAACGTTTTAGGTGCCTGGCCGTCGTGCTTCAGGCTTCTCGCAGGGTAATTAAATGCTCGTAGCGCGAGAAATACAGACCCAGGCACCAAAAAAAAATGGCTCAATCGAGCGCCTCTGAATGAGTGACTGAGGTTAACAAGTCTGAAGATCATGGCGTACTAGCACAACGACCTAGGTAATTACATGACAACTTACAGCTTAATAATGAGTGAGTGACTTGCTTTTATTCTTGTTATATGATCTAAGATGTGGCTCTCAACAGTTTCTACTTTTATAATTGAACTAGTTCAATATTTCAACTCGAGGCGAGGGGATAGAAAAACTCTCGCCAGCTCGAGGGGTGGCTGCCTTGCGATCTATGCCCGGACTGAGTTCAGTTGCTGCATTCTCTTCGCTGCGCGAGTGAGTCGGCGCTGCGGGAGCGAGAGCGAGGCAAGTCTGCGCTGCGCGAGCGAGTCTGACCCGCGCGAGCGCGTCCGCGCTGCGCTACTGGGCGGCCCTACTCTGCGCGAGTGAGTCGGCTCCCTCGCTCGGCGCGAGCATTAAGCTCTGCGCTGCGCGAGCGCGCAGGCGCTGCGCGAGCAAGGAAGCCGGCAGCGCGCGAGTGAGTGGAGTACGCCTGTGCCGCACGAGCGAGCGAGTCTGCGCGCGCTGCGTGAGAGAGTGAGGCCCCCCGCGCGGCGTGGGCGAGCCTGCGTTGCGTGAACGAACAGGCAACGCGTGCGTGAGCGAGTCGGCGCGGGGCGGTGCGAGTGAGTGCGAGTGCGAGTGTGACGAGTGTGAGCGTGAGTGTGACGAGTGTGAGCGTGAGTGTGACGAGTGTGAGTGTGAGTGTGAGTGTGAGTCTGTGCTGCGCGAGCGCGTCTGCACTGCGCGGGTGCGTCTGCGTTGCGCGAGCGGGTCGGCGCTGCGCGCGCGTGTTGGCGCTGTGCGAGCGAGTCTGCGTTGCGCGGACGAGTCTGCGCTGCTCAGCGCGAGCGAGTCTGCTTTGCGCGAGTGAGTCGACGGACGCGGCGTGGGCTAGCCTGTCCGCGCTGCGGGAGCTTGTCCGCGCTGCGCGAGCAGTGAGTCCGCGCCGCGCGAGCGAGTCTGCCCTGCGCGGGTGGGTCTGGGCTGCGCGAGCGAGTCTGCCTGGGCCGCGCGAGCGAGGGAGCCCGCGCTGCGTGAGTCAGTGGGCTTGCCTCTGCGCTGCGTGAGTGTGTCTGCGTTGCGTGAGCGGGTCTGCGGCTGCGCTGCGCTGCGCGAGCGAGTCTGCGGCGCCGCTGCGCGAGCGAGCGAGTCCGCGCTGCGCGGGCGCGTCTGCGCTGCCGCTGCGCGAGCGAGTCTGCGCTGCGCGAGCGAGTCTGCGCTGCGCGAGCGAGTGAGATCGATGGGTCTGCGCTGCGTGAGCGGGTCGTAGTGTAGTCTGTTCTTTCTGTGCGAGCGAGTTGGTTCGTTCTGCTTCTGCCTCTGCGTGAGAAAGTCTGCCCCGCGCGAGCGCGTCTGCGCTGCGTGGGTGAATCTGCGCTGCCGCTGCGCGAGCGAGTCTGCGCTGCGCGAGCGAGTCTGCGCTGCGCGAGCGCGTCTGCGCTGCGCGGGTGAGTCTGCGCTGCGCTGCGCTGCGCTGCGCTGCGCTGCGCTGCGCTGCGCTGCGCTGCGCGGGCGCGTCTGCGCTTCGCGGGCGAGTCTACGCCGCGCGGGTGGGTCTGCGCCGCGCGGGTGAGTGGTCTGCGCCGCGCGGGCGAGTCTGCGCGGCGCGAGCGAGTCGGCGTTGCGCGAGCGAGTCGGCGCTGCGCGAGCGAGTCGGCGCTGCGCGAGCGGGTCTGCGCTGCGCGAGCGAGTCTGCGCTGCGCTGTGCTGCGCGAGCGAGTCTGCGCTGCGCGGGTGAGTCTGCGCCGCGTGGGTGAGTCTGCGCTGCGCGGGTGAGTCTGCGCCGCGTGGGTGAGTCTGCGCTGCGCGGGTGAGTCTGCGCTGCGCGGGTGAGTCTTCGCGGCGCGAGCGAGTCGGCGCGGCGCAAGTGAGTCAAGTCGGCGCTGCGTGAGCGAGTCTGCGCGGCGCAAGCGTGTCCGCGCTGCGTGGGCGAGTGGGTCTGCGCGGCGCGAGCGAGTCTGCGCAGCTTGGGTGAGTCTGCGTTGCCGCTATGCGAGCGAGACTGCGCTGCGCGAGTGAGACTGCGCAGCCGTGCGAGAGAGTCTGCGCAATTGTGCGAGAGTGAGAGTCTGCGCTGCGCGAGCGAGTCTACGCTCCGCTGTGTGAGTGGGTCGGCGCTGCGTGAAGATTGAGTCTGCGCCGCGTGGGTGAGTCTCTGCTGTGCAGTGCTGTGCTGCGCGAGCTAGTCTCGTCTGCGCTGCGCAAGCGCGTCGGGTCGGCGCTGCGCGAGCGTGTCGGCGCTGCGCGAGTGAGTCGGCGCTACGTGAGTGAGGCTGCGCTGCGCGAGTGAGTCTGCGCTGCGCGAGCTAGTCTGCGCTGCGTGAGTGACTGAGCCTGCCTCTGCGCTGTGCGAGCGCGTCGGCGCTGCGCGAGCGCGTCGGTGCTGCGCGAGCGCGTCGGCGCTGCGTGAGCGAGTCTGCTCTGCGCGAGCGAGTCTGCGCGGCGCGAGCGAGGGCGCGCCGCGCGAGCGAGTTTGCGCTGCGTGAGCGAGTCTGCGCTGCGCGAGCGAGTCTGCGTCGCGCGAGCCGCGTGTCTGCGCTGCGCGAGCCGCGAGTCTGCGCTGCGCGAGCCGCGACTCTGCGCTGCGCGAGCCGCGAGTCTGCGCTGCGCGAGCTGCGAGTCTGCGACTCTGCGCTGCGCGAGCGAGCCTGCGCTGCGAGCGGGAGGGAGTCTGCGCTGCGCGTTAGAGCGAGCCTGCGCTGCGCGACCGAGCGAGTCTGCGCTGCGCGGCCGAGCGAGTCTGCGCTGCGTGAGCGTCTCGAGTGCATCCTGCGCGAGTGTGTCTGCGCCGCGCGAGCGAGCGAGTGAGTCTGCGCTGCGCGAGCGAGTCTCTCTGCGCCGCGCGGGCGAGTCTATCCGCGCTGCGCGAGCCAGCGACTTCGCGCCGCGTGAGGGGGCGGGGGTGGGTCTGCGCTGCGTGAGTGAGTCTGCGGCGCGCGAGCGGGTCTGCGCTGCGCGAGCGCGTCTCGTCTTCGCGGCGCGAGCGAGTCCGCGCCGCGCGAGTGAGTCTGCGCTGCGCGGGCGAGTCTACCTCTGCGCTGCGTGCTGGGAGGGTGGGTCTGCCTCTGCGTGGGCAGCGAGCTTGTCTGCGCGGCGCGAGCGAGTTTGCGCCCCTTGCGCGAGTCGTGAGTTTGCGGCTGCGCTGAAGCGTGAGTAAGTACTCTCTGCGTGGGTGATGTGTTTGCCTCGTTGGCGTGGGTGACTGGCTACAACGTACTCGAGCGAGGCGGGGAGCCTCGTCGGCCTCTGTCTGCGTTCGCTGCGCGGGCGGGTCTCGTCTGCGTTCGCCGCGCGATCGAGTCTCGTCTGCGCTCGCTGCGCGGTCGAGTCTGCTCTGCGCCAGCGCCAAGCTTGCGCTGCGCGAGCGTGTGCGCGCTTGCTTTAAGTGGTTCGCTGAGCTTGGGCAGCGGGGTCTGCCTCTCTGTGTCGCGCCACGAGTGTGCGCAGGCTTTGCTCTTGGTTGTTCGTTGGTAGTTGTTGCGTGTTCGCTTCTTTTTGTGTATTGTTAGGCTGTAGCCCGCGGCGGCGCGCGGGCCTTGGCTTGCGTGTCAGTGCTACGCGGCCGGACGGGTCCGGCGGGTCTGGTCTTTGTTTGTCTCGGGTCCTCCCGCCTGGGCAGCTGCAGCCAGTAGCGGCCGGGGCGCCCATGTAGCGTCGCGCGCTGGCATGGCTGACCCCTTGCTTGGCTGCTCCCTCCCAGCACGGGGCGATAAGTCTGCGACTGGCTTGCCCATTTTCGGGCGGGTGGGTGGGTCTCTCTACCTACATCCTCGGCGCCCGGCCGATCCGTCGTTGGTTGGGTTAAACTATTAGGGCGTGACGGGTTGAACTATTTGGCCGCGAGTTTTTCTATTTGGGTGGCAAGTTTTTCTATTAGATGGGCAGAGGGCGGCTCAACTGTTTGGGTTATTTCTTTCTTTTTTTCTTTTCTAGTTTTTCTATCTCCTTTGGTGTTTTTCTATCTGATACCCAATTTTTTCTATCTTCTCCTTTTTCTATCCCTCTGATAGAAAAACTTACTATTTACCTCCCTCAAAAAACCTAGAAGCCTATCGATATGCGGCAGGATTACTCCTGTGGTAGTTTTTCATAATATTGATGCGCTTTGGAATTGGATCCAGGTCCACTACTGATTTTCATATTATTTAGAAATAGTTTTTGGAATTGGATCCAGGCCCACTACTTAGATAACAGCACAAGGCATTTTAGTGTTCTGGATCCTTGCTATGTTCTGGAGCATAATCCTTATTTTGAACTCTTCTTGCTATTGAACAACTCTTTTAGAAGATCTTATATATAACTTTAGTGACACCAGAGGAGAAAACCAGCGGAAGCTCCGTCCTCCTCTGATGTCGTGTACCTCTTGCGCAGGATCGTTTTTATGTTTCCCACGTGGGTGCTTCTTGTTCTCCTTCCTCTCAACTACACCTGAACGAAGCGCAGCACACGATTAATAATTTCATGATAGTCCTCGGGCAAAAACACTGTTCTTAGAAATCACGAACGTGTCTTCATATCCGGACTCTTGATGGGAACAAGTAGGTATAACGCGTCAGAATGTAGAAATATGAGGTAGGGTTTTGTTCCGCCACAACTTTGCTTTGGTGTTTCTGCTAGTAAGCTGTAGTTGTGTCTGCTAGTAAGCAGGACAAGAGATGAGGAGGAGGTGGAGGAGGAGGACCCATATAACCATGACATGGCGTGGTAGAGTTGAAATGCCGCGTAGTAGAGTTGAGGAGCAACTTTGCTCGATGACATTCTTAGTTGGAGTTGTGAGCGTGAGGGCTGCTATGGATGAGAATCCTTGAGAGAATTTCAGGAGAGTGTACTACAAGAGAGAGCTTGATGTTGATGACACAACAAGACTATCACGATCACACTCATCTGAGTACAATAAGAAAAGTTACGATCATATCCTGCATTGATGGATCCATTGAAACATGACATGACCCACCGTGAGAGAATAATAGAAAAGGATCTTCTGGGAGGAATCTAAATCAAGATTTTTCACTTAGATGATTTTTTTTCTCCAACCATGCTCGTTCACGACGTCCATTTTGCTGGTTTTTACTGCCTAGGAACCTGAGTTTTCTCACGCCATCTGGTCCTTACTCCACGGCGGGGCGGGGCGTCGAAGCTAGGCTGCGGAACCTGCATGGGACCACGCGAACACAGCTAACAATACAAGCACTACAACTTCTTCAAATTTCGCGAACGCAGCAAATACTACAAGTCTACAAATGCTATTACGGGAGGTTGCAACTTGACTCACTACACTCACTATGAGCAAGAAATCTATAATGTAGTTGATGTCTTCTTGAAGGATATTAAGTGGAAAATATAGATAACTATGTCCACGTGCCTGATATTCTCACTACTTCTATATCGCGGGAAAAGGATAAGTAGTTTGGGGAATCTGGAATGATTCACCGGGGGAAAAGGATAAAGGACAGAATTATAGATATGCGAGGTAGATGAGTCAACTTGAAACCCCTAAAAAAAGTAGTGTAGTACAAAGTCGACGCTTCTTGTTACCCGCCCAACAAGCTCAGGCAGAGGCGGAGGCTTCGACGTGTTTCTTGGTGGTCCTGAGATGTGGCAGGAAAACGCAACTGTCGAGTATTTTTTGTGGTAACGAAAATTGAACAAATTGTTACAACTACAACTACGACTACTACTGTCACAACTACGAGGACCCTACAACTTCTAGTGGCTACCACCGCTACTAGTACAACTACCCTTGTTTTTCTAGTGGTGGAATCGTACCCCGAATCCTACCCAGGAATATAACCCCCTACACCCCGACTTCTGCTATCCCTTCCTATCCCCGAAGAAGATGGGGAGGAGAAGTAAAAAGAACAAGAGACCGCTAATGCTGCAGCATGCAGCTGATCGCAATAATGCAGCCAACGACCACCACAATGATGAGGTCCTCAACTCCGTCAGCTCTGACTCGAGTGATAGCGACGACTTCTCAACTGACAGCGACGACTCAACAAGGAGTGAAGATTTATTTGGATCGATATTCGGAAATTGGATATGGACAACCAGGAATGGGCGACTCAGCTCCGTATTGGTTACTTTGCTTGCTCTCTACGTTGCGTTCCATACGTATTACACTTGTACGGCCGGGCACCCAGTCCTTTTTTATTTCACTTCATCTTTTATTCAGATTCATTGGTTTCGATTTTGTTGATACTATAGATATATAAGGGCAGGCTATGTGCTTATTCTGCGTCTGCTCGTTTTTATTTTTGATACTATTTCGATTTCTCAAGAACAAGTACATCAAGAGTCTGTCTCGCTGCGTCACAAAGAAACTACATCTACAACAGCACTGATGTGCTATTTTGCTAAAAACATATTCTTGAATATTCTTCTTCCATTTTTTTTCTTCTACAACTCGAACTCCTATTCTACAACTGTTATTCTTCGATTCGTGTTCTTCGAGTCTGGGTCTTCTATTCTTGTTCTTCTATTTTTGATTCCGACAGCACGACTGAATTGCAATGGTCCTCTGATTGTGCTTGTTCTTCTAGATGAACAAGTATTACCGCTGTTGAGGCGGTCTCCATTGCTCTGTGTAAGATTTGCTTCAGACTTGACCGCGGACGGTGAGTCTGCATGAAGTGCATGAGCATGGCCAGCTACAAGTATTGCCGCTAATATACCTGCCGTGCTGGTTCCATATTTTGGTCACGGCGACTACTACCACAGCCTGCTTCCAGACTTTCTAGCTTACAGAGAGCAAGCACTGCTAGGGGAGTCGCTGCTGTCCGCAGGGGAGTGTCTGGGTGACGAATCCGCGCTATCCGCACCATCTGCAGCGAGTGAGAATGGAACAATAATTAAGGCTCAACAATGTAATTCATCTTGTTGTTGTTCGCTTCTCAGAAGCATCTTGATTTACATTTGGCGTATTTTCAACTTCTTCAAGAAGGGAGAATAAATGCACAAAGCAAGATGAATTCCGGTATTGATAATACCAGTAAGATCCTCTAATAAAGCAAACACATCCTCATCAGTCTACCCCCCGGATCGGGGTCCACCTGGTACCGTTGCCAGTGAGAGGAAGACAGACACATCAATAGGACGCGTGCGCCATCAAGCCAATGCGACTCTACAGTTAAGGCTCACAGTATTTTTACTAGGTCTCCACATGGATATGGGCCCTCAGACGTCCCTGCCTCCCTACTGTTTATTCCTCCGTAGACATGTCTGTCTCTCTATGAACTGAAGAGCAAGGCGTTTCTCCCTACTGTTATTTCTTCCCTACAACTCTTATTTCCTCCCTATGAACTGAAGAGCGTCACTGTTATTTCCTCCCTAGGATTCCCTTACAGTAGAGTAAATGAACTAGGTAGATGAAGAACTTCCTGAGAAGCTCTAACATTGCAAGAACAACAACAGCAGCCGAAACCGCTACAGCTAGAGGTGCACGAGAAAAAGCACGACCACAACTACCACCAGACAAAAAATACCACAAGGCTGCAGACGGAAGTAGGGGAGCAGGTAAAAGTGGAAACTGTGGAAGAGGACATAATTGGGCCGACCATTACGGAGACCACTTTGAATTTCTTCTTAATACGAAGAGTAGAAAATGCAACACCACATTTGTAATACGAAGAGCTAGAGCACTTAGTTGTAGAAACTACTGCATTTTAATGGGTGGCGCAAGATCAAGAATTGTAATCTTAATAGGAACACTAACTTTCTCTCTCACTTTGCAGTTGCCTGTTCTTTTCTCTCACTTTGGAGTTGCCCGCTCTTTTCTCTCACTTTGTAGTTGCTTGTTCTTTTCTTTTTCTCTCGTCTGGTAATTACAGTCTTTGTACGTACTTACTTATGCAACTTCTAATGAGTGGAAACATGGAAAGCATTATATTTTCTTTGAGGATATTGATATTCATTCTGCTTTTTGCCTGCAGCTACCTACATTTTCCTAAGATGGGTGGCGCAAGATCAAGAATTGGTGTACGCTAGAATCTTAATAGGAACGCTAGAAACTGCATCTCAATAGGAGCGCCGCATCTTAGTCAGAGTGAGCTGCAGGAACCGTAGCTGCATCTTTGTAGCTGCATCTTTGAAGAGCTGGCTGGTTTTAGTTTCAACAAGAGTGTGAATGAGTACGAACTAATTTTTTAGTTCAAGGATAGTTCTTATGTCTAAAGGAAAGATCCAGCCACGGGTAAGGAGTGATATCTGTTAGAGCTTAGCAGCGCTCTGACTTCAATTCTTTTTCATAAGGTCGTGAACAAGGTGGACCCCTTGCGCCCTCCCCTGTCAAATTATAACAGATCCTGTCAAATTTGATGGCTAGTTCACTTCGTGCCTCGCCGTTTTGTGTGGTGAGGTGTCGTAGCTCCGCTCGACTGTTTTGGGTGGAGTATAAGAGTCTATACGGCTCGGTTTGCCATAGGTATTTTGACTTGAGGGCTTCGCGGCCTTTGGCCAAGATGGTTCAGGATCTTCATATATAGGCATGCTGTCCTCTGTAGCATGCTAGGCTAGCTGGGTCTTTCTTAGATCTTTTAATAGTTGTCGAAGTGCAGCATACTTTAGTTGAATGTTAGCTGCGCTTGATCCTTTCACGCAACCAGATCGCTATCGATCTAGGTTGCACAATGACACGGCCCTCGGACCTTTGTGCATTTATCTTTATACGCGCCGCTGTAGTGCGCGAGGTTGTTCGGACTTTATCTTGCAGATGTAAGACTTTATCCATGGCTGGGAAGGTTTGGGGATAGAGTTCTTATGTCTAGAGGAAAGATCCAGCCACGGGTAAGGACAGGAGTGATATCTGTTAGAGCTTAGCAGCGCTCTAACTTCAATCCTTTTTCATCCCGCGCGCCTCCCTTTCTTCAAAGCTCACTTTTCTCAGCTTTTGAGTCGGGTTGTTGATCTAAGGAAGCGCGAGGCCAGATGTTTAAGCGTTCAGCCCCGTACGCTGCCCCATCCGGGCTGCGTCCTAAGAGTACTCAGCTGGAAAATAATGCAATCCATCGCTACGGCGGACAGTGAAGCTTTTGCGCAGCATGCAAGGCTTTAAGAACGCAGTCAAAAAGATTATGGACTCGAAGAGCAACGCGGAAGCAGTCGAACCAATGGAGTTGGTACAGAAGGGCCCGGCTGTGCTCAAATCCACAGTGGACCTAGTCAGTGAAGGAAGAACAATTAGGAGCACTTGAGAAGAACCTGCTGAAGTCTTTAGTAGTTCCAAAAGTGGAAACTATGAAATCTACTAGCCAGGCTCTCACTGGCAAGACAGTTCTTGACTTGTATTTAGGACTGGATGCTCCGAAGGTGGAAGACTTGGCCAAGAAAACATCTGTGGCGCAGTCCGAGCAAGAGCAAGCGCACAAGCCTGCCAAGAAAATTAAAGTGGAAATATTGCAGGACGAGCCAGCAAAGGCGACGACCGCGACGAAGATTGTTGGCCAAGCGGGAGCTTCGTTACCCTTGAAGGATACAATCACCAAGAAGGAGGCCCCCCCGTCGGTGCATCTTCCTACGGATGAAGATGGTCCCACTCAGTCATGTGTAGAATCAGGACTAGAACTCGCCCCCTTCAAGGCCGAGCAAGAAGTGAAGGGGCCATCCCTCCTACAACTGATCAAGGGGCAAGGCAAAGCGAGTAGAAATGTGCGAAGAACTTTTAATCGTGATCGCGATGCTGTCCCAGTTGCCAAAAAGAAAGCAGCGACGGCGCAGGCGTCTTCTCCTCCACAAGGAAGAAACCAGATCACTTCGTTGCAGCTCACCAGGCGTGCCGCTTTTGTGCAGCTCCCTTGGGGGCAGGCTGTTCTACTGGTAGCTCAAGAAGTGCGAGATAACATAATAGACCAGCCCCAGGAGCACACTCGTGCGCCTTTGGAGGCTGTTAACGGATCGCAGAATATGGCCTCTCCCGCTCGCTTGCAGTCACTGGCTGAGCTGCGGTGGAACTCCAGTACAGTAGGAGACTACTCGCGTGAATTTGCTAAATGTGAACAGCTTATGATCGCGTGCCGACTTAGTCCGGCGCCGCGTCACGTTTCTGATCTGCTTTCTCGATTGATTTAATCGCGAAGGCCCTACTAGTGTGTGGAGATGCCAAACAATCAAGGGCGGAGCATCCAGCTCATATCAAGAATTGGGTGGCGAGCAAGGCGACGACGTCGCGCAAGGCATTGATGGCATACGTGGCATCATTTAGACTGGCTGTCGGCTCGTGCGAAAGATAGGCTGAGGCAGGAAATGGGCTCCCGCTTGTCCCGCATCGTTTTCCTTGTGGCCTCTGCTGATATATACGAGCAATTGCGTGCTGGCGCTTCTGACGCGCTGGCGCTGATCGCTCACTATACAGGTTTCTTGGTAGCATGCTGGTTCATGCTGTTGAGGCCGGATGGCGCTGCAGCGACGACGCTATCTGTAGCGATTGACGGATCATGGCTGGGGTTCACGATCGCCGAGGCCAAGAATTCGCAGGGTGCAACTGCAGCCCAGTCTGCTCTTTCTCAAGATTTTAGCTGCTGCTGTAGATCATGGCGTGGCTCTGATCTGCCCCGTCCACGCATGTTCACCCGTGGCGTTCCTGGCCATTAGCCGACGACCAAAAGCGGCGCACACGAAAGCGATCAGTACCGCGATGAACATGGCCGGTCTTTCTGATGAGATGAAAGGGCAGCCATTGGATATCAATCTGGAGCGATTCGGCCCATACTCGATCCGAGTCGGGGGAGCGTGTGCTGCACTGGATGGCGGCACGGATATTAATGCTAATCACCTACGCACGCGGTCGCCTTTACCTCGTGCACATATATAATTCGCCAGCTTTATATCAAGTTTTGCGCTAGGCACTCCGGTGGACGTGAATTGCTCACCGACGAGGAGGAGCTGTGACTGCAGCACAGCCTCCACAAAGACTGAGCCAGAAACCACGAGGCCACCGCTGACCCCCTCGAAAACAATACCACCGAGTACGCAAGCAGCAGGAGACCAATGAGTCCAGTTTTCCCACGGACAACCAACGAGGGCAGTCAAATTATCCGAAAGGCGACCTGTCTGCTACTACGAGAAGCCAGCACCTTTTTGCGGCAGCAGTGATAACTTAAGGCTATCTCGCCGATACACCGGGGACAGATTTGACAGGGAGCGCTCCCATCTGTTTCTGTGTGCTCAAAGAAAAAGAAAATAACTAGCACCGCACTCCAGGCAAATAAACAGGGCCCGGCGTCTCTCGTCCGCAGCTGTCGAGCGCTTCTCTGGCGCTATAAGCGACATTTTAAGCCCTCCGCCCCCTTCATGTCCCCGCGTCATCGTTTGGAGTTTCTTGCTGCTTTACGTAAGCCAGCACGAGCGGCCCTTTTTCTTTTCTCGACATCGCGCTTGTGTGCTTACAGTTGCAATCTTACTTACAGTCATTCTGGGAAACGCTGAGCATTTGACTTCGAGCGCGTGCACAAGGAAGAGGCTGCGAGGCGCTACGGAGCCCCCCCACTCTACCCTCAGCGCGTGCTCTTCGCGATGAACTTCGCAAAATCCTCATCACCCGAAGACCTTATCGAGAAGAACAAGGCCAAGGGCAAACAAGCTGCGCAATTTTCCATTGCTCTACAAGACGAAAGGAGTGCGATCTTCGCAGGACTCAAGCCCCACCTTGTGAAATTGTCCCCCGGGAAGAGCATTGCGCTCTTCCGCCTCTTGCTGGAGCTGGCGATCGATCAGCAGCCGCAACTCTGGCCAAAGAGAGAGCTGATCACTGGAATTGTGCACAAGATCAGC